AGCAGGGAGCCCGATGCGGGACTCGATCCAGGGACTCCAGGATCATGACCTGAGCCGAAGGCAGTCGCTCAACCAACTGAGCCACCCAGGCGCCCTGATTTTCTTAATAATATTTTCTTCTTCCCAGCTAATATTATTGTAAGAATACAGTATAGAATACATATAACATACAAAATACGTGTTAAGCGACTGTTTAGGTCATCGGTAAGGCTTCTAGTCAAGAGTAGGCTACTGGTATTAAGCTTTTAGGGAGTCAAAAGTGATATGTGGATTTTTGATTGTGCAGGGGTCGATGCCTCCAATCCCAGTGTAGATCAAGGGCCAATTATATATATTTTTTCTCAATAGTTAACAACAAAAGTCTTAGCCGATACCTCATTGACCCAGATTTGGTCATGTGCCCATCCCTGAACCAATCACTCTCACTCACTAGTTGCCCCTACTATATGTCTAGAGCTGGGTGAAGGGGGAAGCTCACCAGAAGGGTGTGATTTGACAGTGGAGCTGTTCCCCAGTGAAAAGGTGAGGTATAACCCTGGGAGAAGGGGCTGTTTTCCAAGGAAGCAAAACACTGGGGAGACCAAAAAACATGTCCGCTATCCCTTACTTGGCTTCTTTTTAAGAGGAAGGAGTCTTGGAGCACCTGGGTGGGTCAGTTGGTTAGGTATCTGCCTCAGGTCACGATCCTGGGGTCCTGGGATCCAGCCCAGCCTCAGGCTCCCTGCTCAGTGGGGAGTCTGCTCCTCCCTCTCCCTCGGCTCCTCCCTCACTGCTTGTTCTCTCTCTCTCTCAAATAAATAAAATCTTTAAAATAATAATAATAATAATTTTTTAAAGAAGAGGAAGGAGTCTTGGTCTGGAATAATGAGTTTTACCTTTTGTCTTTGTGGAAAATGGTTTTTAAAAACCACAATCTGGGGGCACCTGGCTGGCTCAGTCAGTAGAGCATGTGACTATTGGTCTCGGGGTTGTGTGCTCTATCCCCACATTGGGCAAGGAGCCTACTTAAAAAATAATAATAAAATCTTTAAAAAAACCCCACACACAACACAATCCGGATGTTGATGTTCTCTTTATTACCAGATTGTTACTGCTTCTAGGTTTTGGGGGAGATTTTTTTTTTTTTTTTTAAGATTTTATTTATTTATTTGACAGAGAGAGAGACAGCAAGAGAGGGAACACAAGCAAGGGGAGTGTGAGAGGGAGAAGCAGGCTTCCCGCGGAGCAGGGAGCCCGATGCGGGGCTCGATCCCAGGACCCTGGGATCATGACCTGAGC